TAAATTCGTAAACATGTGTGTTCTTAGAAGCAAGGTCGGTGTTTTCTTTGGACGTGGATTTACTTATGAATGTTTACTAAAATGGATTATTCAAATAAAAAAATACATTCAGGAATAGTTACCCAAACATAGTCAGCTACTAGTGGATATTACTAGTAGCCGCACGAAAGAATTATAAACAAATTATTTAATTCTTTCAAGTTATATTGCCACTAAGATGAGTGTTTTAAGAATGTTACCAGTGAATTTCGCCTATTGAGAGATGTTTTTAGCCAAGGTTTTCCCTCAAGTACACAAGGCTGACTGAATTACAACACACGGCCATGAACTTTGTACTCTGTCGAAGCTTACGAAATCATTTCAACCAAGTGATGTACCATCATTATAAATCTATGAACTCTTTTTTTTTAACGTGGTTTCTAGTGGGAAACGAGCATTTAACGTGGTTTCTAGTGGGAAACGAGCACTTGTTGAGTTGAATGTCCCAACAAAGTTGAGTTTTTTGTGCATGTGTGTGCCATCTCAGCTTCTGACTGGCAGTTCGTCTGAAGATTAAAAACAGTGTACCAGTTTTAAATCTGTTATCGAAGCAACTAATATATTGACCTCTACTTAACTGTTGACTACGGCATGCCTTTAAAACCAATTATCGTTCTGTTGCAATCTAACGTGTAAATAATATTTACTGTTTTTCATCAAAACAAGCTGGTGAAGACATTTCCAGATTTTCAGTAGTGTTTATGTAAAGAGAAGGTGATGCACGTGTGGCTCGAGTTGACAGTTATCGGCATCTGTTTCCTTCTGGCAACCATAGGTACTACAAACAACAGGCTGTCTCTAACTAGGTACTTCAGCAATTTCAATTACCCCCCCCCCCTCCTTTTTATTTTTCAAAGCACGAACAAATGTTTATCCAGATAAGCATACAGTAGTTTTTACATTTGGGATGAGAGATACAAGCGGGATTATGATGTCACTGGACCTTCACACTGAATAATGTCGTTAACTGACAATGTGTTGCGATATTATATACTGGTACACTGTCTAAAAAGTATTGTTGCGTCATCGAGCTCCCGTGACAAT